AGGAAGGAAGGAAGGAAGGAAGGAAGGAAGGAAGGAAGGAAGGAAGGAAGGAAGGACAGTCAGAGCAGTTCTGGGAAGGGGAACACCAACACCAAATGCACCAATGCCCCTTCCCTCATCCCTAGTAAATCCAGGGCTCCTGGGAATGCTCCAGCTGACGGAAACTCCTTTGGGAGAGCCCCAAATCCCAAATTTTTGGACCTTCATGCATGTTTAGCACATCCCCACTGCCCTTCCTGCTTTGCACTATTCCTGTTATCAGCAGTGGGGCTGCGCTGATGGTGCTGGCAAAGCTCGCCCCCGGCGAAATCCTCCACTGAATTTCCTTTTTTAAACTTTTATTTTATTTTATTTGTTTTTTTCTCTAAGATTCACACCACAAGGGTTGTCTTAAAAAAGAAAAACAAACAAACAAACAAACAAAAAAAAAACAGAGAAAAAAATAATACCAAACCCTTTCTGCTCCCAGCTTGGAGCTCTGAACAGGACAGAGCTGCTGGCTGCTCAGAAATAGAAATATATATTAAATATATAATGGGATTTATCTATCCAGAGGTTATAACAAGCTTTGGAAGCTGTTGGGGAGCCCCATCCTTTGGGATCCCCGTCCCTAAACCTGCTCCGGCACAATTTCCTTCTTGCACTTTGAAATTCCTTTGGATTTTTCTCTTTTTCTCCCCACCCAGAGCTGGGTCATTCCCCTTTCCTTGGCACCCCTGGAGGTGCCACCCAAAATCTTCCTGGCATGGGGACACCCCTGGCACAGGGACACCCCTGGCACGGGGACCCCAGGTCCCCTCCACCTCCCTCCTGAGGAGCCTCGGGCTTGGCAGTGATGGTGAAAGCAAATTTAGTCACAAACTGGGGCTAAAATGTGGAATTTTGGGGCTGTCCCCTAGCCTGTTTTGGTGTGGGGTAGCTGTGCCTGCCATCCGGCAGATCCTCGGGATTTGGGGACAGCCAAATCCTAGCTTTGGGACAGCAGGAGGATGGGCAGGGGGCTCTGCCAGCTGGGTGTAGACAGGAGTTGGGGTTTATTTTATTTTATTTTTTGCTTTTTATCACAAATCCCAAATCCCCGCATTGCTCTGGGATCCCAAATCCCTGGAGTGCTGCCCGCAGCCTCCAGCCCCATCTGCAGCCCCAGAAACCCCAAAGTTGTGCCCATATGTCCCAATTCTTGCAAAATCCAGCCCCGGGAGATTAGAGATCCCTGTGAGGAGCAGGGATGGAGGGCTGGGAAGGGAATTGTTCCCCCAGGACACCCAAAATCCAAGTTGGGATCACCCCCGATTTCAGGTCAGTGCCCAAATCCCTGGACAAGCCCAAGGCACCAAAGGGGTCAGTGAGAGGCACTTAGGGCACATTTCCACAGAGGCTGGAAATGCTGGAATTGGCTCCTGTGGGAATGCTGGGGAGCCCAGGCTTTGGAAGAGGAAGGAAAGCTGGGAATTTGGGTTTTTTTAGGCAGGATCACAACCAGGGGAGCTGGATCCCTCTGGTTCTCCAGGAATTCCCAGAGCAGGATCCAGGAGTTCCCAGAGCTGGATCCCTCTGGCTCCCCAGGAATTCTGGGATTTGGGGATCAGAGACAGAAAGCACTTACACCTCTCCCTGTGCCCAACCTTCCAAAGGCTCTCAAACCCTGGGAATTGTCACCTCCAGCCACCCCAAATGTCCCTTGGGCAGAATGAGAAGGGGGAGCTGGGAAATTCCAGGTGAATCCCTGTGGAAAAAAAAAACAAAAACGGGATAACAGGGGGAAGGGAAAGGAAAAAAGGAAAAGCTAAAGATGATCTGTGTTTCAGTTGCACTGGGGTACGTTTCTTTACCCGTTTTGATGCTCTCATTTAGGATTGTTGCATGTGTCCTTTTGTGTTTTTTCTTTATTTTATTCATTTTTAGGTTGTTTGGTGGTTTTTTAATATTAAATGAAAGAGAAAAATGTGTATATTTTTGTGAATTTAAGGTAATGTAGCTAAGATATATTTTTTTCACTCTGCTTGACTGGTCTTTATTATAATAAATAATATTAATATTAATTGTGAGTTGGTTTTTAATAAGGATAAAGGGGGCAAATTTAAATGGGAATGGGAATTCCCTGCCTGGTCCTGGGAATGTGTAAAGGAATCCCAAGCCAGGGATGGTACCCAGGTAGAAATGAGTGCAAAAAGGAGGAGTTTTCCCAAAGAAACCCCAATGATTGCCCCCATTAAATCCCAAATCCTCTTGCTGTGCTGGTGAGCAGTTCCTGAATCCTCCTGTTTTCCAAGGATTTATTCTTTGGAAGCCCCAAGTCGACAGGCTTGTCCTGCCCCTGCTTTGGCTCCTTTCTTGCCCAAAATCGGGTCTGGAGCCATGGGATAAGCCACTCCCATGTCAGGATTCCGGGAATTCCCACTGGAAAAGCCACTCTCAGCCAGAATTCTGGGAATTCCCATTGAAAAAGCCCTCCCAGCCAGGATTCCGGGAATTCCCAGGGCCGAGGCTGAAGGCCCGAAGGGCTCCAGGGAGGAAACTGAGGCATGTGCTCCCGAGCCAGGTGTTCTGCCTGGGAAAGGGAACCGCACCGGGATCCGGACAGACTGGGGATATGGGGCAGTGGGAGTGGGCACCGGGAATGGGAACTGGGACCCTGCACTGGGATTGAGATCTGGACGGGGACTGGGGCCCTGGGAGTGGGTAACAGGATTGGGCACGGGGGGACCGGGCAGGGGGACCGTGTAGTGGGATCGGGAATCGTGACTGGGACCGGGATCGGGAATCGGGATCAGCACTTGGATGGAGCAGCGGAACCGGGACCGGTGGTGGGAACGGACACTGAGANGGGAGGGAGGGAGGGAGCGGTTCTGGCCGCGCTGGCCGCTCTGGAGAGCTGTCCCCAAGCCTGGCTTGGGGAGCCTGGCTTAGTGCCCAGTGTTCACCAGCCATTGTGTCCATAGGGAGAGGACCAACAGGAATTTTAGCAGCCACTAAATTGGACCCCTGGTCCTTCACAAGCTGCAGAATTATCCATGTATCCCTGGTGAATTTACCTGCACGTGTTCCCGCAGAGAGCTGGAGAGCTCAACCAAGGCGTTTCCCAGCTCTTGCCAAATGTTGCTTCTCAGAAATACGATCCTCCCTCACTCCTGCACCTGGGATGCTGCTGGGCATGGAAGGAAATCTTTTCAACTGCTGTGTCTCTCTGTGTTCCCGCAGCGTGGCGAGCCTGAGCCCCCTGACGGAGCAGCAGCGGCAGGTCCTGCAGCAGCACGAGCAGCAGCTGCAGCAGCTGCAGCAGCTCCTGACTTCCCAGCCGCTTAACCCGGTAAGGGACGGAGGGGAGGCTGGTGGTGCTGGGAAAAACTCAGAACAGAGAGGAAAATCTGAAATTAAAACTGGAGGTTCTCTCCTGTCCTTGAATCCTCTGAGCCTTTTGAGTCTGAACCCACTATGGGCTGGGTGAGGGAATTCAGAGCTGGTTTGGGAATTTAGGATGAGGAAGCATCCCAAATCCTGAGGATCAAAGCTCCAGGGTAGGGGTGTGGCAGCTCCCAGGGAGGGGAGGTGGGATTTGGGCTCTTTTTATACCAAAGGAAAGAAGTTTAATCTGAGTTTGCCACATCCTGAGGGGGTGAGAAGGTGGGAGCTCCGGGAAATCGAGAAGGGGAAACTGGGAGAGCCGTTCCCCCCTGGAGATGCATCCCAGGATGCAAATCCTGCTGGATCCCAGGCTGGCCCCGGGCTCCCAGGTTTCCTGGGCCAACAGGAGAGGCAGAACATGCCAAGGACCCTGCTGGGGGCTAGAGAGAGAGATAAAACCTGAATTGTTTCAATCCCAGGCAGCTCAGCCGTGTGTGAACACATCCACACAGAGAGCTGGAGGTGCCCAGGGGGCTCCACAGCTGGCTCAGGGTTTTGGGGTCACTGAAAGGCCCCCAAAAGCTGACTGCTCTGGGGTTCTTGGCTCCCTGCCTGCACCCCCTGTCCCGGGAATGGAGATGGAGAGGTGGCAACAGGTCCCTGAGGTGGCAAACCCCAGCCCCTGGCCTTGCAGAGACCTCGGCGCTGTCCCCACCCTGCCTGGGGTGACACAGGAGTGCCACCAGCGCTATCACCAGGGCTGGGCTGTGCCCATTCCACCCAGGAGCCCAGCCCGCTGCTCTGGATGCATTTCTGGGTCAGGCTATTTTTATATCCCAGGAAAAGCCAATTTCCGAGGGCAGCTGATGTCACCGTGTCACCCACGGGGACAGGACAATGGCAGCTCCAGCTGCCACGAGGGTCGATGGTTGCCATAGTGATTCCTGTGGTCTTCCCGGATTTCAGGGAGGTTTTCCTGGATTTCAGGGCATTGCTTGGGATGCAGGTGAGCTCTGAGCCTGCTTCCCCTGGGTCCCGCTCACCTGGAATTCAGGAAGGAATTCAGAGCCAGTTTGGGATTTCGGGATGGTGAATTCCACAGATTTGAAATTGCTGCATTGATGGGTTGGAATTGTAGAGGATTTGTGTCAGAGCACTCTGTCTCCACTGTGTCCTCTCTGTCCCTGCTCTGTCCCTGCTCTGTCCCCACTCTGTGCCCGCTCTGTCCCTGCTCTATCACTGCTCTGTCCCCGCTCTATCCCTGCTCTGTCGCTGCTCTATCCCCGCCCGCTCTGTCCCCACTCTGTCCCCGCGCTATCCCCGCTCTGTCCCTGCTCTGAGCCGTGTCCCGGCTGTTCCCGCAGGAGCAGCAGGCGCTCGTGTTCCAGATGATGCAGCAGATCCAGCAGAAGCGGGAGCTGCAGCGGCTGCAGATGTCGGGCTCGTCCCAGCTGTCNTGTCCCAGGTTTGGGGAGTCCTGGGGATTGGGGGGTCCAAGGTTTGGGGTGTCCACGATTTGAGGAGTGCTGGGGGTGACCCAGGTTTGGGAAGTCCCAGTTTGGAGTGTCTAGAGTTTGTGGTGTCCCAGGTTTGGAAAGTCCTGGGGCTTGGGGAGACCTGGGTTTGGGGTATGTGGGGTTTGGGGTGTCCTGGGTTTGGGCTGTCCCCCTGTGTCCCGCAGCACCCCTCCAAGGCAGCTGGGCACCAATGGCTCTGTGCCACCACAGTGCCACCGAGGTACCACCTCTTGCTCACCTTGTCCTTGTCCAGGTCCCCGTTCTCCACGGCGCCTTTCTGCTCCTCCCTGGAGCGGGACACAGGACAGGGATTGGGGAAAGGGGGATCAGGGATGGCACTGCTGTGATCTGGATCACACTGGGATCAGGGATGGCACTGCAGGGGACAGGGAGCCATAGGCGGTTCCAGGGCTCCAGGCAGTACCCAGAGCCCCAGGTGGTACCGGAGCTGGCCATACCTGCAGTCCCGGTGGAACTCAATGGACAGACTGACGATCTCATCCTCGGGCCCCACGCCCTGATCCCGCTCAGCCACCTCACCACGCTCCTCCTGTGAGCCCAGGGGAACTGCGGGACAGGGACATAGGCTGGGACACGGGGACATTGACACTGACACCTACAGTGTGACACTGACACTGACAGTGTGACATTGACACAGATACTGTGACACTGACACTGTGAGATTGACACTCACACTTGACATTGTGACCCTGTGACCCTGTGACATGTGACACTGACACTGAGACATGTGACACTCACCCTCGGCCACTGGGTACGCAGCGTAGAAATCACGCCTCCTCTTCATCTCATCTGTGGTGACAGGGGCAGGGACAGGGACAGGAACAGGAACAGGGATGGGGACAGGGACATGAGTGGGGACAGCTGTCCCTGGGCAGGGTGACAGCAAGGGGGCACAGGGGACACCCCAGAATGCCCAGGAAATTCCTGTGGGAGCTCCAGCAGGAGCCATCCCATAAACCCTGGAGTGGCACCCAATCCTGAGGAGTTTTGGGTCCCCACACCCCAAATCCTGAACTTTTTCCCATTCCTAAGGCACTCGGAGCAAATCCATAGCTCCTGCTCCCAGACTGTCCCAAAGTTTGGGATGGGTGCCATGTCCATGTGTTCTGCTGTCCCTGTGGGAATGGGAAATCCCTGGGAAGATCCCGGAATTCAGGGGAATGGGAGTGAGTTACAAACACCCCAAATTCCCAAATTCTCCCCATCCTTGGCTGTACCTTTGAAAAGCCCCGGGACCAGCTTGTACACGATGTCCTGGAGGGTTTTGTCCAACCTGGACAGGGGGAAGCGGGAAAAGTGGGAGAAATCAGTGGGATTCAGGAGCAGTTTGTGCATCTCTGGGCACAAACTCCCCCAGCTCCCCTCTGGGTTTCCCATCCCAAACCCTAAATCCTCAATTCCCCATTCAAAATCCCCCAAACCCCAAATCCCCACTTTCTCACCCCAAAGCCTCAAATCTTTTTTCCCCATGTTGGGACCACGTGGAGGTGCCACCACCCCCCAGGACTCGGGGACAGTGGTGGCTCCATCCCCGCAGGAGGAGATAGAGACTCCAGAGGAGCCATGGGAGTGTAAATATTATAGGAAGCCAGAGAAAACGGGGAAAAAAGGGAAAAAAGGATGGATGGATGGATGGATGCATGAATGCATGGATGGATGGATGGACAGACGGACCAGTGGGGTCCAGGATCTCAGGAATGGACACAGGGCACCCATCCCACCATCTTTCTGCTGCCACACAGATGTCCCCAAGTGCTGTTCTCTCTGTGGTGGCATCTCCCCCTGTCCCTACTCCCCTCCCACCTGGGACACAAATGGGACTGGGATGGAGGTGTCACATGGATGGGGACACCAGTGGGACCAGGATGGAACTGCTCCTGGGTTGGCAGCAGAGCCCCAGGGTCCCCCTGCTCCAAGTGCCTGGGGCTGTCCCCTGGAGCAGGGACAAGGAGTGAGTGGCCCTGTGAGCCCTCTGAGTCCCCCGAGCCCCCCGAGCTTCCTGAGCCCCCTAAGGCCCCCCAAAGGAGCCCCCCGAGTTCCCCCAGAGGAGCCCCCCGGGCTCACCGGATGCTGAGCAGGGGCCGGGTTTTGTGCACCTGCACGTCGCACATGGGGCAGTACTTGTTGGTCTCTAGGTAACGAACGATGCAGGTTTTACAGACTGTGGGGACAGAGGGACCCTCTGTGAGTGGGGGGACAAGGGGACAGAGCCCCTGTGACCCCCACACCAGCATGGGGACAAGATCCCTGCCCAGTGCAGCCCCCTGCAGCTCCACAGGGCCTGGCACAGGGTGGGCACTGTGAGAGGGGCTTTGGGATGGCCAGAGGGTCCTTGGGGACACGCGGGACACTCACAGGAGTGTAGACACTCCACGATGGTGGTGGCGTCGATGAAGTAGCCGCCGCAGAGGGCGCACATCAGGTGCGGGTTCAGCTCCGTGATCTTTATCCGGGTGGTCCTGTGCATCTTGGAGCAGCCCCAGAGCGGATCCTCCCTGCGGGAAACCCCCGCGGTCCCCTCGGGTGGGACCTGTAGGGACCGCTGGAGGGGACACGGTGGGGACTGTCACTTGTCACTCCCAGTCCTGCAGCCACCCCTGGCTCCAGGAGCTGCCCAGCCCCCTCTGCCTCACCCCTGGCTGTCCCTGGGTGTCCCCAAGTAGGTCCCCAACACGCTGAGACATCTCCGAGCAGTGACAAATCCTCCCTGTTAGCAAATCCCCACCTGTGGCTGTGCACACACACCCCAAAAAAAGTGCATTTTGGGTTGCTTCCATGGAAAAGGCATTTCCAGCCAAAATTCCATGGGTTTTCCTACAGAAAATCCCCAAGCCCTGTGTCTGGCACCTCCCCCGGGCANAGCCAATCCTCTCCCGGGGACCGCGGCTTCCCCGCAGCACCAGCAGAGCCCGGAGCTCCAGGAATGGCCCAGGAGGAGCCTCGGGAGCCACAGCGGCTGTCATCACCCCAGTGCCACCAGGAGTGAAAGTGGGGTCACCTGTCCCCTGCTCCCTGTGCTGGAGGGGACTCCAGTGGATCCTGCCAGGAGCGTGGGAAGCACCCACGGTACCAGAGACCCCCCAGAGCCTCGGGGAAGGACATGGTGGCACCTGGAGGTGCCCAAGAATAGGACTCAATGTGGCACTGCCAGGGAAGGATGTGGTGGCACCTGGAGGTGTCCAAGGATGTGCACTGCTGGAGAAGGGACATGGTGGCACCTGGCAATGTCCCAAGAGCCAACACTGGATGTTGCACTGCTGGGCAAGGATGTGATGTCACCTGGCGGTGTCCAAGGATGTGGCCCCGGATGTGGCACTGCCAAGAGAGGACGTGGTGGCCATGCCCAGGTGGGGACATCCAGATGAATTCCCAAGCTGAGGTTTCCCTGCTTTTCCCACTGGGCTTTGCTTCAGCTGGAAGATGATCCAGCCTGGAAGGACAGATGGATGAGGATGGACAGAGGTGGGAAGGAGGTGGCACCACCTGGGAGGATGTTGTCACCTGTGCCAGCTGCCGGAGGGGCGGGGCTGTCCTTCCCTCCTGGAATTCCCAAAGGCCAACATCTCAGCTGGGGCCACAGCTGGAATTGTCCGAGGTCAGGAGCTCCTGGACCTGGGAGAGGATTCCTGGACCAGAGTTTGGAGATGAAATTCTTTGTGGGGAGGAGAATCCCAAATGCAGTCCCTGCGTTTTCCCACCCACCACAAATCATTCCCACAAAACCACATTCTTCCACTGGTCCTGGGAAGAGGGATCTCCAAGGAATGGGACAGTGACCACAGTCCTGAGCCTGAGATGGCAGAAGTTCCATTGTTCTCCACCTTTTGACCTTGATTCCATCTCCAGCCTGGAATATCCACTGGGGGTCGGCTTCCTCTGAGCTGGGATGGATAGGTGGAAGGAAGGAAGGAAGGAAGGAAGGAAGGAAGGAAGGA